TCCTAACTATAATCCTTTACCTCCCAGCGACCCTTCTCATTTATTAAATCTTTGGTCCAAACTTTGCTATGCAAGTAAATATTTTTGGTCTCAATGGAAAAATGACTATTTATCTCTGTTGCGGGAAAGGTATGAGAAAATTACACCAAAGAAACAAAGAATACCAAACATTGGCGATTTGGTGCTGATAGCAGACCAAAACCAACCACAATCAAGTTGGATGGTTGGGATTATAATCGAAGTATTTAAAAATTATTACAACCAGCCCGATAAAGCCAAAGTAAGAATTGTCTCTGCTCTGGGGAAGGGTCGTTTCATTGAACGAAGTGTACACCACCTCCTACCACTAGAGACAGAAAATGAAAGCAAAGAAAGAAATTGCTCTTCCCCCAACATTGAGGCAGATGGGACAGTCGTGCACACATAAAGGATAAGTTACATTGAAAATATTTACAATAACAACTTTAAACTTTTTAAACAATAAAGTCCTCGCCTTTATAAAAATAAAACAATTTCTCTCACATTTGCCTTTTATTCTCTCATTTACATTTTAATTTCTCACCTACATTTTTAGTTTTTAACCAGCCATTTTAAAATTATAATGGGCTCTATTATTTCTTTAGAATTAATTTCAAACAACTTCTTCATAACCATTAACGAAAACAAATTTAATTATTCATTCTTGATGTTTATTATTATATTAGCTTGCATATTTACTTGCGTCCTCACGTTAATTATTCTAAAAATTAAAAAACTTTTACGCCCTAATGTCCGAAACCACTGGACCCCACCTCCAACGCTCATGGCTATAATCTTATTAATTCTTTTCTGCTCCCCGATTATTGAAGCGGGAAAATACAAAATACGTTCTAGCAGTCACAACTTACGCAAAGCTGCAAAATTTACAGGAAAAACTTCCGCTAGTATCCTTGCGTCTTCCGCTGCCTTTATTGGCCTAGATTACCTTGCTTCCTACTTCATGGAAAACCCAGATGTTAGCGCTATTCTATTAACCTCCATTGGCTTATTCGGAATAACGATACTTTTGCTAACCACACATTACATAATGAAGCTATACCAAAAATTTAAAATTACAAATCATCGGGAGGAAAGTAATAATGAGCAAAATCCTCCCCTTACTAGCATTGAACTGCAAACCCTGCGCCAAATAGCGTCGCAATTAAGCCCCACGCATTAAAATAAGCGAAATACATTAAAATTGTACATATTATATAAAATTTGTAAATAAAATTTAAATTTAATCATTTATTAAAACTTACCATTTTTAAAGCTTTTTAAAAGGAAAGAATAGCTGTATGCCTAAATCTAAAATAAAACCCAAAACATCCATTGAAATCATCATGCAACATTTAAATCTGAACGACCCCAATAAAATTACTCAAAATCCCCCTTCACCAACTTTATCCCTAGCCTCCGAATATTCTGACCCCGCTTCTCCAAAACCGGAAATTGAACATATTCCAACAACAGAATCATCACAACTTGAAACAAAAATTGCGGAACCAGCCCCCAACATTGACAACGGAAATAAAGAAGCAAATAGCAATTACCAACTCAAACCGGACCGCCCTCCTATACTCGCACCTGAACAACCTAACAACAAGAAAAAATTAAACGTTACATTTAACAACTTAATAAACGACCCGACACAAATGGCTAAGAAAAATCCTTTGCCTGTTGCTGTTCTAATTAAAAGAGACGGGCAAGTTTACTCTACTAAAAATTATAAAAATCTTAATCCAAATTTTTATGGAAACAATATGCCAACCAAATCCAATGCTTGGAAACCACCTTCGTTAATGTCTCTTCATATACCAAATCCCTACCGCATCCCTTCAAACCTTCCATCAACAAGCCATGGAACTACTCGACATTTCTTTACAAATCAAAAGAAAATATTTTTTCCAACTCCAAAATAAAATCGACTCCGACGTGGGCAGTGTCAAAATTGCATTTTGAAATAGAATAAAAAATATAAAAACAATGATTCACACTTAGCATCACATATTTTCACTTTAAATTAAAATTAATCTTTAGTTGCTTTTTCTAAAAGCTATTTAATTTTTCTCACAATTGTTGACTTTACATATTTTTTTCCTTTAAAAAGCAATTCGATTTCTCACTTTTTTACTCTTGTTCACTTTTTACTGTTCTTATTCAGTTTTTCTACGATTTCATATTTTTTTAAATCCGATTAAGCTTTACTATTTTTGCTTTTGCTCATCGACAATATTTTTTAAATAAATTAAATTTTGTTAATAAAAATATATATTTTTTGGGATTTTTAAATTTTTTATTTGCTTAAAAAGCAACAAAATATTGCAATTTTTTTTTTAATTTTTTGCTAAGTCATTTGTTTTTTTTGTTATTTTGAATATAAAAACATTCCTAAAAACATTGTAGAACGAGCTCTTTTTTAAAAATAAGATTTCTTTGTTATTTATATTTTGTATGCTTATTTTTAGAGAATAAAAATTTAATTTTTAATTTTGAAATAAGAATGTTTTTTTTCATTAAATTTTACAAAAGAATATAAGAAAAATAAATTTATTTAATTCTAAGAATTATTAAGATTAAATGAAAAGTATAAAAAATGGAAGATGAATAAAAGTATGCGGAATCCGGTACCGGTAAAATCCATTTGTCGAACACTAGTTGGAACAACCTTCTCCGTAATTAAAACAAATTTGCTCGTAATATAACACATTTGCCCATTATATGGTCACGTCTAAAAGACCCCAAACTATTGAAAATGCATATTTTTCTCTATGGACGAAGTCATCCGAAGTTTTGTCCGGACGAAGTTTTGTCATTCGAAGTTCTGCCCCGTCACAGCGTATAAAACAACACTAGGCGTTTTTTAATTAGAAAGGAAAATTTTTAAACATATTCTGTATTATTTAAAAATTTATTTAAAATACTATATATTTATGTATTCCCTCAACAAATATTCCCACAAATAAATTTTTCCCATTTTTTCAACATAATACATATACATAAGTATATATACTATTTAATAAGACTGCCTCTGAATTAAAAATCCTTTAATATGATAAAAAATATAATTTTTCCTCATTTACCTTTCATAATTAAAAATAAGCTTCATTTTGTAAATTTGCTTAATTATTATTTTAAATAATTTATTTAATTTTAGTGTTCTATACTTTAACAATAAAACTTTGTTATTTCTTAAATATTTTAATTAAATTCTAAACATGAATGGAGAGAAGGATCGTCAAATTCTGATTTTGAATTTAAGTTAAACCAAAGTAATCATTTAATAAAACTTCAAAATAATTTTATCGACCTTCAAACAAAATTTCTTGAAGAAAAGGAAAAGAATTTTAATCTTGAAAAGAAAATTCTTGAAAATGAATTAAAAGAAATGAAAGAAGTTTGGAAATTAAATACAGTTTTTAATATACATATAATTTTAGAAAAATCAAGAACTCGAGTCTTATCTTAAATTGGAAAAATTAAATAATGTTACTTGTAAAGTAGTGGTTAGTTTAATACAAAAATTATTTTAGATAAATTTTTTAAGAATTTTGTTGAAATTAAAAATAAATGGAAATATATTTCTGAAGATGATAAATGTTGTGAAAATAAATGTATAAATACAGACAAACCTAGTGGTGTTTGTATTGAAGGAAATGGATTTATTAATTTAATTAATGATGAATATATTAGATACTATAATTGTGTGGAGGGGAAAGGTTGGCTTAAAATTTTGGGATTAATTTTTGTAATTATTTTTAGGTAAAGATATAGAAGCTATTGTTGATGCGGAAAATTCATTTAAAAGTCCAAAAAATTGTTTTAATTATTCGTTATTTTATTTTGAAATTAAATGTAAATTTGAAAGAGAATTGGATAATTGTTGGATGGTTATTGGTGTTGGTGATAATAATAAGTGTTTTAGATTTATAGCAAAAGAGTGTGTAATTATAAATGAAAACGATGAAGAATTTGAACTTTCAACATTTTCTTGGAATGATTTTGATGTTTTTGGGTGTGGATTAGTTTACCCTCCAACTGATAAAATAACCGAAGAATTTCCTTATATTTTCTTCACACAAAATGGAAAACAAATTGGTAAAAATAAAGATTGACTCTGTATAATTTAATTTTAAAGGGAAAGCTTTATTATCAAAAGATAATTTTGATTACTACCAGCCATATGTTGTATTACAATGTTGTTCTGCAGAAACGAATTTTGGAAATAATTTGGAGACAAAGCCTTTTATTTATGATATTTCGAAACATTTTGTTTGTAAGGAATTCTATTGAAATTTTTGTATTGAAGTTGAGGATTTTTTTGATTTTATGAATTATTTTTTCTTGATAAAATTTTGTTAATTTTTAAAGGTTTTTTTTGGAAAACATATCTATTTATGTATTACCATGATTTTTGTCATTCTTGATTAATCATACCTTTTGTTTAATTTTTAGGTTATTTTCTTAAAAATGTTTGGCGAAGAAATGTAAAAATTAATAAATTTCCGATTACTTTGAGAACGATGTTAAATAAAATTAATTTTCTCTAGAACCTTTAATTCTCTCTGAGTCTTTAAATCAAATATTTTTCTTTGCGCGACGTTTATTAGTTTATTGAAAATATTTAAATATTTCAAATAATTTTTATGAAGTTATTATGACGCTTTTTATGTGCTAAAACTTTGCTTCTTTTAAGGGGGTCAACCCTGAAGAACTACACCCCCAAGACCTACACCCTGAGGACCTACACCCTGAAGACCTACTGACCCGGAAGACCTATATAGACAGTGATTCAAGTTTAATCAAAATTGGCGCAATGTCAATGGATGTAAAAACAAAAGGAAGGATAGCATAGATTTATTTTATCTTATCTTTAATATCTTGGAGTTTTAAAAATTATTCAAAAATTGTTTAAAAGTAAAATAATTTTATCAAGAAATAGTTAAAATTAACGAAAAATCCACAACTTCAATACAAAAATTTCAATAAAATTCCTTACAAACAAAATATTTAAAAATATCATAAATAAAAGGCTTTGTCTCCAAATTATTTCCAAAGTTTGTTTCGACAGAACAACATCTTAATATAACATATAGTTCATAATAATCAAAATTATCCTTTAACAATAAAGCTTTCCCTTTAAAGATTACATTTAAAAATATATTTAAATTTTATTTTTACCAATTTGTTTCCCATTTTGTGTGAAAAAAATATAAGGAAGTTCATTAACTATAGTTGGAGAGTAAACTACACCACATCCAAAAACATCATTATCATTCCAGGAAAATGTGGAAAGTTTAATTTCTTCATTTTTTTCATTTCCAATTGCACAATTCTTTGCATTAAATTTAAAACTCTTTGTATTACAAAGACCAATAACCATCCAATTATTTAACTCTCTTTCAATTTTACATTTAATTTCAAAATAAAACAAAGAATAATTAAAACAATTTTGTGGTTTTTTAAATTGATTTACAACATGAACAGCAGCACCAATATCTTTACCTAATAATTTACAAAAAATAATTTTAAAATTTGAAAATAACCTTTCCCCTCCACACAATTATAGTATCTAATATATTCATCACTAATTAAATTAACAAATCCATTTCCGTTAATACAAACACCACTAGGTTTGTTTGTACTTATACATTTATTTTCACAACATTTAAAATTTTCAGGAATATATTTCCATTTATTTTTAATTTTAACAAATTTCTCAATAAAAAATTATTTATTTTTATATTTAATTAAACTAACCACAACTTTACAAGTAACATTATTTAATTGCTCAAATTTAATTGTCATATCAGCAAACTTTTTTTCATATAAATTATTTACCTTTTAATTTATAAAATTAATTTATAAAAATAAAATTTTCACACCTTTTTCATTTCCTTTAATTCAATTTCAAGATTTGAAGTCTTTTGCTTTTCTTCATTAAATTTCTGTCTATATTCGGTCATTTTTCAGAATTGAATTAAAATATATTTTAAAAGAAAACAAGAATTTTATTTAACTGATTAACTGTAAAATACTTTTTAAAAAAACTAAAATTTATGTAAATTTTATAGAAAATCTTTCTAAACTTTATTTTTAATTTAAAAATGAATGTAATTGAAGGAGAAACATTTTTGAAAATTAATACTTATATGTATAATTGAAGCATTTTAGCTCAGAGAAAGTTTTTTAAAATGGAAGGTTTTATTTATGAGAATATTTGTTGAGGGAAATATTTTAAATAACAACAGTCTGAACACTCCAACAAACCTTTCCCTCATAAAGAATACTATCACATCTCTGTAAAAAATTTTAACACATCTTTTTAAAACTGAATTTCATAAAAATGAGGCCAGAAAAGAGTCGAACATCGGCCCGGTTCGAAAACCCCACCCCTAACTAGGAATCTAGAAAAACAGAAAAAGTTAGGTGGAAAAAGTTAGGAGAGCGTAAATTCCTCGATATTCCCTTTAATTCCTCCTTTAATTATCCCGTATATCTCTTCAAATTTAATTTAACCTATTTAAATCCCCCGATAGCCACATGCTTTTTAATTTTTAAGTGCCATTTGCGGAAATTTTTAGAATTGTGGAAGACCGTATACTAGCTGTGCCATGCACAACATACATACATATGTATTCCCTCAACAAATATTCCCATACATAAATTCTTCCCCATCTTCCAACATAAGTATTATTTTATAAAACTGCCCCTGAATTTCTTCAAAATATAAGTAGTATTTTTTTGAATATTTTCTTCAGTTTTTTTAAATATTTTTTTCTAAAATTGACTATTTTAAGTTATTAATTTTATTATTTTAGTACTTAATCATTCAAGTAAAATCTTTGTTTCTTTTAAGATATTTTAATTAAATTTCAAAAAAATGACCGAAGAAGTGCCAACTTCTGTTTTGGAATTAATAGTAATTTTTGGGAAATTAATAAAAAAATAAATTTAAATAATTTAAGTTAATCCAAAATTATTTGATAAAACATCAAAATAATTTTATCGACCTTCAAACAAAATTAATTGAAGAGAAAGAAAAGAATTTTAATTTTGAAAAGAAAATTTTTGAAAATGAATTAGAGGGAATGAAGGAGGTTTGGAAATTTTTAGTTTTCTAAATTAAATGAAAAAATTTTCTAAAATTCCACAATTTAATAAATAATTTTAGAAAATTCAAAAACTCGAGTCTGAGCATAAAAATGAAATTGAAGAGTTAAAACAAAATTCTAAACAAAAAGTTGTTTTGCAATCGGAAGCTGCAAATGAAAGTATTTGTTTAAATCAAGTTAATAATCAAAAAGATGAAAAAATAAATTCTTTGGAAAAACAAATTGAAGAGGCAAATAATTTATTTGAAAAGAAGATTGAGGAATTATCAATTAAATTGGAACGAGTAAATTTTTTAACTTGTAAAGTTGTGGTTAGTTAAATATAAAAATGTTTTTTAAAAATAATTTTTTAAGAGTTTTGTTGAATTTAAAAATAAATGGAAATATATTTGTGAAAAATATAAATGTTGTGAAACTAATTGTATAAATACAGTCAACCCAATTGGGGAATTGTATTGAGGGAAATGGTTATGTTAATTTAATCAATGATGAGAATATAAAATATATTAATTGTGTGGAAGGCAAAGGTTGAATTAAAATTTTCAGGGGTAAAATTCAATTTCGCCCCCCCCCCTTTTCCTTCATCAAAGTATTAAAAAATGGTCAGTCAGACCTAGGTTATAGAACTTGTCGAGCTGAGACGAATTTCACCAAAATCAAAAAAATCGGACTTGATTTGACCGAGATACAGACCCCTGAAAATTGAACAACCATAAGGGCGAAAGTCTAATCACGCTGATTTTGGTGTCATTCGACTCAGCTCGATGAGTTCTATAATCTATGTCTGACTGACCATTTTTTAATATTTTGATGAAGGAAAAGGGGGGGGGGCAAAATTGAGTTTTACATTTTTAGGATTAATTTTTGTACATTTTAGATAATGATATTCAAGTCGTTGTTCAGGCTGAAAATTCATTTAAAAGACCTCAAAATTGTATCAATTTTTCTTTATTTTATTTTGAAATTAAATGTAAAATGGAAAGAGAATTGGATAATTGTTGGTTGGTTATTGGTCTTAAAGATTGTAACAATAAATCTTTTAAATTTCTTCCAAAAAATGGAACATTTATGAAAGACAATTTAAATTTTAAACTTCCAACATTTTCTTGGAATGATAATGATGTTTTTGGATGTGGATTAGTTTATCCTCCATCTGACAAAAAAACTAGATGTTCTTATATTTTCTTTACCCAAAATGGAAAACGAATTGGTAAAGATAAAATTAAAAAAAAATTATCTAAAAATATTTTTAAAGGGAAAGCATTATTATTAAAGAAAAGGTCTGATTATTATTATCCATATGTTGTATTACAATGTTGTTCTGTAGAAGCAAACTTTGGAAATAATTTGGAGTCTAATCCTTTTATTTATGACGTTAAATACAATCAGCTAGAATTTAGAGAATTTTATTGAAAGTTTTGTTTAGATGTTGGGGATTCTTCATTAATTTTATTTAATTTTTACTCATTTCTTTTATTTTTAAACAATTTTTGAATTATCTTTAAAACTTCGAGATATCGAGAATAAGTAAAATAAACATTTGTTAATTTTTGCTTTGCTTTTATATGATTACTAAGGATGAGAATTTTGCTTTAAAAAATGAAAAATATGGATGAAAAATACCAAAATATGCAAGATAAATACAATTTATACCTAGAAGCGAAAGAATTTTATTGAAATTCCTTTACAATCTTTCCCTGTCTATAAAATTTCAAAATATTTAATTCTTTAAGAATTTTATTGAGATTTTAAGTAATACTAAGTTTTGACACATTTTTTGCTCTCCGTATTTTTCTTTTTACAGTGTATAAGAAATACATAATAACTCCATGTAACTTTTTCTGACTTTCAAGGCTTCCATTTAGGGGTGGGGTTTTCGAACCGGGCCGATGTTCGACTCTTTTCTGGGGCTTCATTTTATGAAATTCAGTTTTAAAAAGGTGTTAAAATTCTGTATAGAAATGTGATAGTATTCTTTATGAGGGAAAAGTTTGTTTGGGACTGTTCAGACTGTTGTTCTCTAAAATATTTATTTCCCTCAACATATATTCTCATAAATAAAACCTTCCATTTTAAAAAACTTTCTCTGAGCTAAAAATGCTTCAATTATATAAGTATTAATTTTCAAAATTTTTCTTTCCTTCATTTAGATTCCTTTTTAAATTAAAAATTAAATTTAGAAAAATTTTCTATAAAATTTACATAAACATTGTTTTTTGTAAAAGATATTTTATAGTTAATCACTTAAATAAAATTTTTTTTTAAATATTTTAATTAAATTCTAAAAAATGGCTGAAGAAGGATTGTCAAATTCTGATTTGGAATTAAAAGTAATTTTTGAAATAATGAATGAAATTTTAAACAAATTTAAATAATTTAAGTTAGTAAACCAAAGTAAGGATTTAATAGAACTTCAAATAAAATTTAATGAAGAGAAGGAAAAGAATTTTAATTTGGAAAATAAAATTCTTGCAAATGAATTAAAGGGAATGAAAGAGGTTTAAAAATTTTATTTTTTCTAAATTAATAGAAATTTGTAATAAAAGGTAAATAATTTATTTAAGAAAAAGATTAGTGATTTAACGATTAAATTTGAACAATTAAATAATGTTACTCGTAAAGTAGTGGTTAGTTTAATATAAAAATTATTTGAAAATTATTATTTAAAAGAATTTTGTTGAAATTAAAAATAAATGGAATATTTCCGAACATTTTAAATGTTGTGAAGATAAATGTATAAATACAGACAAACCAAACGGTAATTGTATTAAAGGGAATGGATTGATTAACTTAATTAGTGATGAATATATTAGATACTATAATTGTGTTGAGGGAAAAGGTTTAATTAAAATTTTAAAATTAATTTTTGTAAATTTTTAGGGAAAGATATTGAGGCTGCTGTTTATACCGAAGTTTTATTTAGAAGGCCAAAAAATTGTTTTAATTATTCTTTATTTTATTTTGAAATTAAATGTAAAATGGAAAGAGAATTAAATAATTGTTTAAATTGGATGGTTATTGGACTTTGTAATACTAAATGGAATAGGTTTCTTCCAAAAAATGGTATAATTACAGATGAAAAAGAAGAAGAATTTAAACTTTCAACATTTTCTTGGAATGATTATGATGTTTTTGGATGTGGATTAGTTTATCCTCCAACTATAGTTAATGAATTTCCTTATATTTTCTTTACCCAAAATGGAAAACAAATTGGTAAGAATAAAGCTTAAATCTGTATTTAAATTTAATTTTTAAAGGGAAAGCTTGGTAATAGTGTCGTTTCCCAGCCCCCTTTTTTTCCTCCCAATTTTCTACCCTATGTTTGTACGGAATGGTCAAATTTTCCCCTTTCTTTCATCAAATTTGCCTTTCCAAAAAAAAAATTTGCCTTTCCAAATTTGCCTTTCCTAATGTCCATACACAGAACATTGAATCATTGTGGTCAACTTATAAACGAAAATTCAGAGATCAAGCTGGCAACAACACTGAAACCTATAAAAGTTATCTCCCGGAATTTATGTGGCGAAAACGATTTGGCAATATTGAAAATGTTTTTTATAATTTTTGGCATCATGTCTCACTTTTTTATCCTTGTGAAAGAAATGAATAAAAAATTAATCTTTTTTGATTGTTTTTAGGCAAAATATGGAAAGGCAAATTTGATGAAAGAAAGGGGAAATTTTGACCATTCCGTACAAACATAGGGTAGAAAATTGGGAGGAAAAAAAGGGGGCTGGGAAACGACACTATTACCGAAAGCTTTATTATCAAAAGACAATTCCGATTATTACAGTCCATATATTATACTAAGATGTTGTTCTGTAGAAACGAACTTTGGAAATAATTTGGAGAAAAAGCCTTTTATTTATGACATTTCGAAACATTTTGTTTGTAAAGAATTTTATTGAAATTTTTGTTTTAAAGTTGTGGATTCTTTCGATAATTTTATTTACTTAATTCTTTCTCATTTAGTTAAAATAATTTTTTTATTTCAAACTATTTTTTGAATAAATTTTAAAACTCCAAGATGCCGTGCCAATTTTCTAATCTCGGTCTCGGAGTACCGGTCTCGATCCTCGCCGAGGAACGAGGCTAAATATAAACCCCTAAGACACCCCTAAGAAACTTAGGATGAAATGCGAGAATTTTTGCTTATTGTACTTCCAAGAATCTCAAAATTTTAACCTGCGGCGCAAAAAAGGATGTAATCTGGTTTCTTGGCCTACCAAAATTTTAAAGATTTTCGTCTGCTCATTGTTGTTCCTTCTACTATCAAAATTATGCAATATCTCACCGGTAGCCGAACATTCATCATAAATTTACGTCAATTTACTTGAGAATTGCTCAAAGATTTTTTTAAATTATTTTTTTCAATTTTTTTTTTAAATTTCTTCTCGTTCGGAAACAGCTTTGGAAAAAATAAATAAATAAACAAAATGAAGTGTGTGGAACACAATCGTATGTCAATGTTGACAATTGGTGTCAATTAGTTGTCGTTTTGTGTGACTTTATTTATTTGATTTGAAGACAAAATGTCTTGATTATATTAATACAAATAAAATTTAGGGCCCTATATGCAAATAAGTTCGTCTTTCTTTGTCCCGAGGTCGGTATCGGGATCAATATCATCAATCAATAATACCGATGACGATTTTAGGTCGGAATCCCGATACCGGCCAACTCTACAAAAACATAGTAGAACGAGCCCTCTTTTTTTAATATTACAGATTTTGAATTTTTATTTCGTAGAATATTTTTAGAAAATAAATAGTTAATTTTTAATTTTTAATTTTCAATTTATTTTATCATAAAATTATTAACAAAAATAATATAGGAAAAATAAACAAAGAATTATTAAAATTAAATGAAAAACATAAACAAATGGAAATTGGATAAAAGTTTACAGATTTTGAATTTTTAAAACAACTCAGAACAAACCTTTAATTGACTAAAATTTATTTTTCAAAAAATTCAGTTGAAATTTTATTTTTATTTGGGAAACCTGGAATGGTATTCCGCTTGATATATTTAAAAAATGTAGTACATCTCTATGGGGAAAAGATTAGTATTGTTCAGACTGTTGTTATCTAAAAATATTTAAATATTCCCCTCAACAAAAATTCTCATAAATTCTTTCCCTTTTTCAAATAAAAACTTTTTCCGAGTCAAAAATCCTTCAATATATAAATATTAACTTTAAAAAGTTTTTCCTTCATTTACATTCCTTTTTAAATTAAAAATAAAGTTTAGAAAAATTTTCTATAAAATTTACATAAATTTTAGTTTCTTTAAAAGAATTATTTTATGGTTAAATAAAATTCTTGTTTTCTTTTAAAATATTTTAATTAAATTCTAAAAAATGGCTGAGGAAGGATTGACAAATTCTGATTTGGAATTAAAAGTAATTTTTGAAATATTGAATGAAATTTAAAAAAAAATTTAAATAATTTAAGTTAAACCAAAGTAATGACATAATAAAACTTCAAACTAATTTTAACGAACTTCAATTGAAATTTAATGAAGAGAAAGAAAAGACTGTTAATCTTGAAAAGAAAATTATTTTTCTTGAAAATGAATTAAAAGAGGTTGAATAAATATTTTGTTATTAATATTTAAATATTTTTTATATTTTATAGAAAACTAAAAAAATAAATTCTGATTATGATAACAAAATTAAAGAATTAAAACAAATTCATCAACAATTAATTAATGAAAAATTTAAAGAAATTGAAAATAAATTTTTGGAAGAGAAGAACATGAATGAAAATAAAAATAAAATAATTGAAGATAAAAATATTTTTCTTGAAAATGAATTAAAAGAAATTAAAGAGGTTTGAAAATTTTATTTTTTCTAAATTTCTATAATTTAATATATACATACATAATTCAATTTAGAAAAATCGAAAATTCAAAGGTAAATAATATTGCTGAATTAATATTTTTTGAAAATATTTAAAATAATAATTAAATTTTAATTTCTAACAGATAAATAATTTATTTGAAAAAAAGATTGCTGATTTAACAATTAAATTTGAACAAACTTGTAAAGTAGTGGTTAGTTAATATAAAAATGATTTTTAAAAATTTTTTTGAGAGTTTTATTGAAATAAAAAATAAATGGAAAACTATTGCTGGAATAAATATTAAATGTTGTGACCAGTGATGTCAAAGTTCCAAAATTTCTTTGGAACTAGTTCCAGTTCCAGAACTAGGTTTTTAATTTTTGTAGTTCCAGTTCCAGTTCCGGAACTCCATTTTTGAAATTCCTTAGTTCCAGTTCCAGTTCTGGAACTAGTTCCAAGCTAGTTCTAGTTCCAAATTTTTAAATTTTTGAATATGAAAGGATTTATCAATTTTAACAAATAAAGGCATAACACTACTCCCTCAATTGATCCGTGTCAAGTGTTGAGCGTTGAGTGTCAAGTGTTATGGTCCGTGCCTTTTTTATTTCAATGTACATAGGAAGGATACGTACTGCTAACACTTGATAGTCGTCCGTGTCAAGTGTTGATCAAGTGCTTTTCAAGATTTTTTTGAAAGTTAAAACACTCAACAATTGACACGGATGTCATTGTAGGAGGGTGCACATGACACGGACGCACGCACGGATGCCAGCACGGAACACTTGACACTCGACAAAACACGGAGTATTGTGGGAGTGTGCGCTTGACACTCGACAAAACACTCAACAAAACACTCGACACGGATGTCATTGTGGGAGTAGCCTAATTTAAAAAATCATTTAGTGTGCGCATTCACGGTATCCAGTAACGGGATTTTTTTCAAAATTTTTTACGGGACAGGATACGCGGGATTAATCCCGTAATTCCGATAATCCCGTTCTAAAATTTAGCAGGATCCAACGGGAGTTCGGGATTTTCACATAAAAAATTTTAACGGGGAGATTAGAGGATGTGAATGGATTAATGGATTTAAAAGGATATCTGGGGATATTTTTGGTGATATCTGGGTTATAAGAGGATTATGAGTGATAACGGAGGATTTAAGGAGATTGGAGGATTTAAGGAGATTCAATTTTAACAAAGGCATAACACTACTTCCACTTGATCCGTGTTAAGTGTTGAGCGTTGAGTGTCAAGTGTTTTGGTCCGTGCCGTTTTTTATCTCAATGTAGGAAGGGTACGTACTACTCTGCACTCAACATTTAATAGTCGTCCGTGTCGAGTGTCAAGTGCTTTTCAAGATTTTTTTGAAAGTTAAAACACTCAACACTTGACATAGATGTCATTGTAGGAGGGTGCACTTGACACAGATGCACGCACGGATGCCAGCACGGAACACTTGACAATCGACAAAACACGGAGTATTGTGGGAGTTTTCAGCGCCGCAGGCGAAAATTTTGAGAATTTCTAAGGTCGTAGGCCAAAAAAATACGCTTTTTCAGCGCCGCAGGCGAAAATTTTTAGAATTTTGGAGCTCAAGTAGTCAGATCTCTTCCATATCACAGCGCGCTGCAGGTAATTTTCGAGGAAATTTTTCAAAAATATACCCCCAAGAACTAGTTCCAGAACTAGTTCCAAAGCTAGTTCCAGACATTTACTAGTTCCGTAGTTCCAGTTCCAAGCTAGTTCCAGCTTTTACTAGTTCCGTAGTTCTAGTTCCAAACTAGTTCCAGATAATCGTTAGTTCCGTAGTTCTAGTTCCGGAACTGGAACTAGAACTAATTAGTTCCGGAACTGGAACTGGAACTTTGACATCACTGGTTGTGACGATAATTGTATAAATCAAAGCAACCCAATTGGTAATTGTATTAATGGGAATGGATTTATTAATTTAATTAATGATGAGAGTATTAAATTTATTAATTGTGTAGAGGGGAAAGGTTGATTTAAAGTTAGGAATTATTTTTGTAAATATTTTAGGTGAAGATATTGATGTAGTTGTTCATGCTGAAAATACATTTGAAAGGCCTCAAGATTGTTTCAATTATTCTTTATTTTATTTTGAGGTTAAATTTAAAATGGAAAGAGAAGTAAATAATCGTTTTAATGCGATGGTTATTGGTATTGTTAATAATACAAAGTGTTTTAAATTTGTTGCAAGGAAGTGTGCAATTGTAAATGAAAAAGATCAAGAATTTAAACTTGCAACATTTTCTTGGAATGATAATGATGTATTTGGGTGTGGATTAGTTTACCCACCAACTAATAAAATAACCAATAAATTTCCTTATTTTTTCTTCACCCAAAATGGGAAACAAATTGGTAAAGATAAAATTTAAATATATTTTTAAATTTAATTTTAAAGGGAAAGCTTTATTATCAAAAGACAATTTTAATTATTGTACGCCATATATTGTATTAAGATGTTGCTCTGTAGAAACGAACTTTGGAACTAATTTGGAGACAAATCCTTTTATTTATAACATTTCTAAACATTTTGTTTGTAAGGAATTTTATTGAAATTTTTGTTTTGAAGTTGTGGATTTTTCGTAATTTTATAAATTATTTTTTCTTGATAAAATTTTGTAAATTTTTAATGGTTTTTGGACAGTTTTTAAAACTTAAGATGTTAAAGATGAGGTTTAAACATCTATTTAGTATTACCATGCTTGAACCTTACCTAATTTTGTTCTTACAAAGTGATATATTTTTAATATTGGGTGAAGTAATAATCCAGCTGATTAAAATAGGATCTTGTCTGTTAAAAAGGAAATCGGGAACCCGATGAAATTTTAATTCCGAACGTCGAGTTAAGAGGATGAGATAGCGAGATATTTGATAGGTTTAAGGAAAGCCATGTTCCAAGAAGTGTCGAAAGAGACAATGAATGAATTAGTAAATACAATTATATCCACCTTAATTCACCGATATGATATATATAATATCCACCTTAATCTCTCCAAATCCTAATATAGTAAAACGGAGCTGGGCTATAGCCAACAAATCCAGCAATCTCAAAAAACGCAATTTGAGAACTTACGCAATTTGCTACTTATTTACTTTAATTACCGACCCCAACATTTTAGATTTAGACTCAGCTCGGCGAGACGAATCGAATGGTATATATTGTGAGTTCCGATCTCGGTGGACCTATACTATAGCGACCCCAATCAGAACAAAACCCAGAACAAAAATTTTGGAAACAACTTGCGCCCAAACATGCGCGCCTAACTGTGCGCGCCTAAACGTGGTGCTCCGATACTTATAAACATTTAAGTTCCGACTTACGCGCCATTAGTTCCTTTACTTTTAAAAACAACACTTTACTGTGCAATTGCCCTCTATGCAATTGGGTCACTGTGGCCGTCTCATGCCGCCTTAAAAGTTTATTTTTTCTACTTAAGTGTCGGTCCTCATGTTTCGGTCTGCAAAAGTCGGCCTGACATTATTTTAAATAATTTATCTAATTTTAGAAAAATATACTTTGACATTTAAATAAAATTTGTTTTTTTTAAATTTATTTAAATTAAATTCTAAAATGAATGGAGAAGGATCGTCAACTGAATCAAGAGTAATTTTTTAAAAAATGGAAAAAATTTTTTTAAATAATTTAAGTTAAACCAAAATTATTTGACAAAACTTCAAAATAATATTATCGACCTTCAAACAAAATTGCTTGAAGAAAAGGAAAAGAATTTTAATCTTGAAAAGAAAATTCTTGAAAATGAATTAAAAGAAATGAAAGAGGTTTGAACTTAAATATAATTTGTGGCTCTACTGCAGTTTTTGAGTCCATCAAACCATCGAATTTTTGAGATACGGGGTAGGTCGGTCAAGGCTGAGAATGGGAAAAACGGAATTGGATTATGTTACTTGATTGGAATCCGGCGACCGTTGACTCCCGCGAGACGCGTGCCGCAAAACCCCGCGCGAAGCGCGGGGTTTTGCACAAGCGCCTCGCCGACGCTCCATAGGTCTACGTTGGACATTTTTTTTCAAAAATTAATATCTGCAAAAGTCGGATCTGCAAATGTCTGATCTGCAAGTGTCATATCTGCAAGTGTCGGTATCTGCAAATGTCGATCTGCGAAAGTCGTCTGCAAATGCCTTAATATCTCGAAGTTTTAAAAATAATACATACAAAAAATTGTTTAAAAATAAGAGAAAATGAGTAAAAATAAAATAAATGAAGAATCCCCAACTTCCAAACAAAACTTTCAATAAAATTCTCTAAATTCTAGTTGATGGTATTTAACGTCATAAATAAAAGGATTTGTCTCCAAATTATTTCCAAAGTTTGCTTCTACAGAACAACATTGTAATACAACATATGGATAATAATAATCAGACCTTTTCTTTAATAATAATGCTTTGCCTTTAAAAATATTTTTAGATAATTTTTTCAATTTTATCTTTACCAATTCGTTTTCCATTTTGGGTAAAGAAAATATAAGAACATCTAGTTTTTTTGTCACTTGGAGGATAAACTAATCCACACCCAAAAACATCATTTTCATTCCAAGAAAATGTTGGAAGTTTAAAATTTAAATTGTCTTTCATAAACGTTCCATTTTTTGGAAGAAATTTAAAAGATTTATTACAATCTTTAAGACCAATAACCATCCAACAATTATTTAATTCTTTTTCCATTTTACATTTAATTTCAAAATAAAATAAAGAAAAATTGATACAATTTTGTGGTCTTTTGAATGAATTTTTAGCCTGCACAATGACTTGAATATCGTTATCTAAAATGTTTAAAATTAATCCTAAAATTCTAATTCAACCTTTCCCCTCCAAACAATTAATATTTTTTTATATTTCCATCATTAATTAAATTAATCAAGTTAATCCAATATTCATTAATATAGTAAATAAATGGAGAGTGATACTAGCTTAATCAAGTTAATTTATACTTGACTTAAGATCTAAGAACATAAGGTACATAGGTGAATATGTTCGTTTTACCTTATACTTAATATAGGAGTTTTAAAAATTATTCAAAAATTGCTTAAAAACTAAAAAAATATTTTTATCAAGAAAACATTGGTATTTTAACTAAAAAAAGCAAACGGGCAAGCATTAAATAAAATTAACGAAAAAATCCATAACTTCAACACAAAAATTTCAATAAAATTCTTTCAAAACAAAATGTTTAGAAATATCGTAAATAAAAGGATTTGTCTCCAAATTATTTCCAAAGTTTGTTTCTACAGAACAACATTTCAATACAACATATGGCTGGTAACAATCAGAATTATCCTTTAATAGTAAAGCTTTTCCTTAAAAATTAAATTTAAAAATATTCTATATTCATTTAAAGTTTATCTTTACCAATTTGTTTTCCATTTTGGGTAAAAAAAATATAAGGAAATTCCTCTGTTATTTTATTAGTAGATTTTCGTTGTCATAGATTTTCGCCCATAGATTTTCGTTGTCAATTTTGAGCCTTTTATCACAACTCAGAATGAGTAGAACTGAGAATGCATGTTTCGAATTAAATAGGTGAAAATGAAGTAATTCTGAGGCGTGATAAAAAGGCTCAAAATTGACAACGAAAATCTATGGGCCTACCCCCGTAGCTCATAAAAATCTGATTGGACTCATAAACTGCAGTAAAACCTTTTAGAAAAATAAATTTTAGAAAAATCAAAAACTCGAGTCTGATCTTAAATTGGAACAATTAAATAATATTAATTATAAATTAGTGGTTAGTTTAATTTTAAATATGTAATATTTTTAGAGTTTTGTTGAAATTAAAAATAAATGGTTATATATTGATAAAAGCTTAAAATGTTGCGAAAATAAATGTATAAATACAAACAACCCAACTGGTAAATGCGTTAGAGGAAATGGATCTATTAATTTAATTGACGAAATAAATGTTAAATATATTAATTGTTTGAAACGGAAAGGTTAGTTTAGAATTTTGGAATTAATTTTTAAAATTTTTAGGCAATGATAATAGTGCTGGTGTTCTTGCTGAAAATTCAATCAAAAAACCTCAAAATTGTTTTAATTATTCGTTATTTTATTTTGAAATTAAATGTAAAATGGAAAGAGTATTAAATAAATGTTGGATGGTTATTGGTCTTAAAGATTATAATGTTGAGTGTTTTAAATTTGCTGCAAAGTGGGATATGATTGTGAATGAAAAGGATGAAAAATTTAAACTTTCAACATTTTCTTGGAATGATAATGATGTCTTTGGATGTGGTTTAGTTTACCCCCCAACTAATAAAATAACAGAGGAATTTCCTTATATTTTTTTTACCCAAAATGGAAAACAAATTGGTAAAGATAAACTTTAAATGAATATAGAATATTTTTAAATTTAATTTTTAAGGAAAAGCTTTACTATTAAAGGATAATTCTGATTGTTACCAGCCATATGTTGTATTGAAATGTTGTTCTGTAGAAACAAACTTTGGAAATAATTTGGAGACAAATCCTTTTATTTACGATATTTCTAAACATTTTATTTTGAAAGAATTTTATTGAAATTTTTGTGTTGAAGTTATGGATTTTTTCGTTAATTTTATTTAATGCTTGCCCGTTTGCTTTTTTTAGTTAAAATACCAATGTTTTCTTGATAAAAATATTTTTTTAGTTTTTAAGCAATTTTTGAATAATTTTTAAAACTCCTATATTAAGTATAAGGTAAAACGAACATATTCACCTATGTACCTTATGTTCTTAGATCTTAAGTCAAGTATAAATTAACTTGATTAAGCTAGTATCACTCTCCATTTATTTACTATATTAATGAATATTGGATTAACTTGATTAATTTAATTAATGATGGAAATATAAAAAAATATTAATTGTTTGGAGGGGAAAGGTTGAATTAGAATTTTAGGATTAATTTTAAACATTTTAGATAACGATATTCAAGTCATTGTGCAGGCTAAAAATTCATTCAAAAGACCACAAAATTGTATCAATTTTTCTTTATTTTATTTTGAAATTAAATGTAAAATGGAAAAAGAATTAAATAATTGTTGGATGGTTATTGGTCTTAAAGATTGTAATAAATCTTTTAAATTTCTTCCAAAAAATGGAACGTTTATGAAAGACAATTTAAATTTTAAACTTCCAACATTTTCTTGGAATGAAAATGATGTTTTTGGGTGTGGATTAGTTTATCCTCCAAGTGACAAAAAAACTAGATGTTCTTATATTTTCTTTACCCAAAATGGAAAACGAATTGGTAAAGATAAAATTGAAAAAATTATCTAAAAATATTTTTAAAGGCAAAGCATTATTATTAAAGAAAAGGTCTGATTATTATTATCCATATGTTGTATTACAATGTTGTTCTGTAGAAGCAAACTTTGGAAATAATTTGGAGACAAATCCTTTTATTTATGACGTTAAATACCATCAACTAGAATTTAGAGAATTTTATTGAAAGTTTTGTTTGGAAGTTGGGGATTCTTCATTTATTTTATTTTTACTCATTTTCTCTTATTTTTAAACAATTTTTTGTATGTATTATTTTTAAAACTTCGAGATATTAAGGCATTTGCAGACGACTTTCGCAGATCGACATTTGCAGATACCGACACTTGCAGATATGACACTTGCAGATCAGACATTTGCAGATCCGACTTTTGCAGATATTAATTTTTGAAAAAAAATGTCCAACGTAGACCTATGGAGCGTCGGCGAGGCGCTTGTGCAAAACCCCGCGCTTCGCGCGGGGTTTTGCGGCACGCGCCTCGCGGGGAGTCAACGGTCGCTGGGCTCTGGGCTCGTAACATGATCCTATTCCTATCATCGATAAGATCGACATCCCAAGATTCACCCGCAGCAGCAAACACTCCAAGGTGTTTGGGTTAAAATTCCTTATAGAAATGTGATTGTATTCTTTATGAGGGAAAAGTTTGTTGGAATGTAGACTGCTGTTATTTAAAATATTTATTTCCCTCAACAAATATTCTCATAAATAAAACTTTCTCTTTTAAGAACTTTCTCTGAGCCAAGAATCCTTCAATAAATAAATGTTATTTTTTCAAAATTTTTTCCTTCAGTTACATTCATTTTTAAATTAAAAATAAAGTTTAGAAAGATTTTATATAAAATTTAAATAAATTTTATTTTCTTTAAAAGAATTATTTTATAGTTAATAATTTTTTGAATAAAATTCTTGTTTTCTTTTAAAATATTTTAATTAAATTCTGAAAAATGACCGAAGATGGACAAAAATCTAATGAGAAGCAAAAGATTTTAAATCTCGAAAATGAATTAAAGGAAATGAAAAAGGTGTGAAAATTTTATTTTTCTAAATTAAATTTATATTAAAAGGTAAATAATTCATATGAAAAAAAGTTTGCTGATTTTACAATTAAATTTGAACAAATAAATAATTTAACTTGTAAAATAGTGGTTAGTTTAATTAAATATAAAAATAAATAATTTTTTATTGAGAATTTTGTTGAAACTAAAAATAAATGGAAATATATTCCTGAAAAATATAAATGTTGTGAAAATGTTTGTATAAATACAAACAAACCAAACGGTAATTGTATTGAGGGAAATGGATTTATTAGTTTAATTAATGATGAATATATTAGATACTATAATTGTGTGGAGGGGAAAGGTTAATTTAAAATTTTGTAATTAATTTTTGTAAATATTTTAGGGAAAGATATTGAAGGTGTTGTTAATGCCGAAAAGTCATTCAAAAGGCCTCAAAATTGTTTTAATTATTCTTTATTCTATTTTGAAATTAAATGTAAAATGGAAAGAGAATTAAATAATTGTTGGATGGTTATTGGTGTTTGTAATACAAAGAGTTTTAAATTTAATGCAAAGAATTGTGCAATTATAAATGAAAAAAATGAAGAATTTAAACTTTCCACATTTTCCTGGAAGGATAATGATGTTTTTGGATGTGGATTAGTTTATCCTCCAACTATAGTTAATGAATTTCCGTATATTTTCTTTACCCAAAATGGAAACCAAATTGGTAAAGATAAAGCTTAAATATATATTTTAATTTAATTTTTAAGGGAAATCCTTATTGTTAAAGGATAATTCTGATTATTACCACCCATATGTTATATTACAATATTGTTCTGTAGAAACGAACTTTGGAAATAATTTGGAGAAAGATCGTTTTATTTATGATATTTCGAAACATTTTATTTCGAAAGAATTTTATTGAAATTTTTGCGTTGGAGTTGTGGATTTTTTCATTAATTTTATATATTTTTTCTTAATAAAAATATTTCACTTTTAAATAATTTTAAAACCCCAAGATATTAAAAATAAGGTAAAATAAATCTATGTTATCCTTCTCTTTGTTTTTACATCCTTTGACATTGCGCGAATTATGATTAAATTTGAATCACAGTCTATTTACCTGATTGAAGACAAAATATCTCGATTATAGTGAAAATTTTTTTAAATCCTCATTTATTTTTAAAAACTTAAAAACTTCTTTTAGTTACACAACTAAAATTTAGGGCCCTATACGCAAATAAAAGCGCCTTTCTTTGTCTGTCCGTGTCCGGGCTCCGGTACAAAATATGGAATCGTTAAAATATGGAATGGTTAAAATCGCGAATAGGCTAAAAAGGGGTTAAAATACCGAATCGTTAAAATATGGAATCGTTAAAATATCGAATCGGGTAAAAAAGGGTTAAAATATGGAATCGTTAAAATATGGAATGGTTAAAATGTCTACACGGCCAAAATGGGTCAAAATGTCGAATTCTTTTAAAAAAGGGTCAGATGAGTGCCATACATTGATTGTTGATAAATTTATCAACTTATTTTTGATAATTTGATTGATAAGTCTCGTATGTCATAGTCCGGCGTAATCTTTTCTGCCTGAGTTCACTGTATTTTACCGAGTAAAATCGGACCGTATAAATCAAGCATAATCGACCGGATCCGGTCCGGCATGATCGTTAATTAAGACCTAAATTTTGTACCTTACCGTATACGGTACGGAATACCGAAAAATACCGTCGGTATTACGGTAACGCCCGGATTTTAGGTTTTGGCGCCATTTTTAAAAAAATTCGACATTTTGACCCATTTTGGCCGTGTCGACATTTTATCAATTCGATATTTTAACGATTCGGTATTTTAACCCCTTTTTAGCCTATTCGCGATTTTAACCATTCCATATTTTAACGATTCCACATTATAACCCCTTTATAGCCTATTCGCGATTTTAACCCATTTTTACCCGATTCGAGATTTTAACCCTTTTTTAGCCTATTCCATATTTTAACGATTCGATATTTTGTCCGGACACGCTCCCATACAAAATACCGAATTCTTAAAATATGGAATCTCAAAATCGCGAATCGGCTAAAAAAGCTCAAAATATGGAATCTCAAAATATCGAATCTCAAAATATGGAATAGGCAAAAAAAGCTCAAAATATCGAAAAATATCGACAATGCGGCAAAGGCCAGTTGAGTCTGAACAAAGTTGTGACCAACTTCTTCGTAAAAAAATTTTAAAAATAAGAGAAAGTATTTTTCTAAGGTAAAAAAATGTGCTGATTACGAATCTCAGCTCGGATTTTGAAAAAGTCGAATCCCGGACCCGAACCGAATTTCGAATCCCGAACCGAATTTCGAGTTTCCGAATGATAGCTCATCTGAAAGAGCACGTCGAGCTGCATCGAATGATACCAAAATCAATGAAATCCGACCTGATTGGACTGAGTTACAGATCCCTGAATAATCAGAAAAAGACCTGCAGCGGCACTCAAACGGCCCTTTTCGTTTTTAAAAAATTCGACATTTTTAACTACTTTTTAGCCGATTCGGTATTTTGAGCTTTTTTGGCCGATTCGCGATTTTGAGATTCGATATTTTAAGATTCCATATTTTGAGCTTTTTTGGCCGATTCCATATTTTGAGATATTTTTACCGATTCGCGATTTTGAGCTTTTTTAGCCTATTCGCGATTTTGAGAATTCGGTATTTTGTGCGGGCACGGAATGAAACAAGTTTGGAAATTTTTATTTTTTAAACTTCAATAATTTAATTTAGAAAATTCAAAAACTCGAGTCTGATCATAAAAATGAAATTGAAGAGTTAAAACAAAATTCTAAACAAGCAGTTGTTTTGGAAACAGAAATTGAAAATGAAAATATTTTTTTAAATAAAGTTAATAATCAAAAAGATGAAAAAATAAATTCTTTGGAAAATCAAATTAAAGAGGCAAATAATTTATTTGAAAAGAAGATTGAGGATTTATCAATTAAATTAGAACGAGTAAATTTTTTAACTTGTAAAGTAGTGGTTAGTTTAATACAGAAATGTTTTTTAAAAAAATTTTTTAAGAGTTTTGTTGAATTTAAAAATAAATGGAAATATATTTGTGAAAATTATAAATGTTGTGAAAATAATTGTATAAATACAGATAAACCAATTGGAAATTGTATTGAAGGGAATGGATATGTTAATTTAATTAATGAAGAGTCGGAGTCTGTTTAGTGGAGGCAAATCCTTTCATTTATGACGTTAAATACA